TCCATTGACACATGGATGGAAAATCGAAAATGGTTGTTTGGATTTTAATTATTTCGAAGGAGAAACTGCGTTAGATATGCTTCAAAAATATTTTTGTTCATGTAGTGGAAAATGTTCTACGAAAAATTGTAACTGTTTGTCATCGAACCTGGAATGCTGTGCAGTCTGTGCGTGCTCAGATGAATGTCAGAATGTTCCATCCGAAATTGATGATGAAACGCTTATTTCAACTCAAGAACTTGTCGAAAATAACGAAAAACTTATTATTTAAAAATTAAATAAAAAAGAAATTAATATACTTTTATTGCTCTTAATATTTTTGTAAAATAAAAATAAAATAATTATCCTATACAATAAATTATCCAATAACTTTTTTATTTTTCGAGACCGCTAGGTCAATTATTATTATTAGGTTAATTTTACGATTTAAAAAGCTTATTTAGTTTAGTTTTGGTATAACTTTCAAGTCAATTTTAGCCATTTATAAAACCAAAAATCGAATATTTAAATTTTACTAATTACTTGCAAAAACCTTACTCCGGCTACAAAACCAAACAAAATGATCTTTTGAACATTTGTACTGTTAACATATAGGTATCGATTAAAAAAAAATCATAATAATGTTTATTGTAAATATAATCTAATATTGTAAAAAGAAAATTTAAATTTGAAGTGTTATCATAATTTTCTTTAAAAGACTTTTTTACTCGCTTTAGACTTTCAATAAAATGATTGACCCATATGAAAAAAATATATCTTAAAGTAGAAAATCTGCCGATTATTATGCTTTTTTTAGAATTAAAATCTGTTCAGTAGTTTTTGAGAAAAAAATTCCGAAAGTTTGTCGATTTCGTCACTTTTTTCACATTAAATTGTAAATATCTCGGAAATGAAGCATTTTTAGAATTTTTATTAAAGTACAAAAAGTGTTTATTTTGGTCCATTTTACAAGTTCAAACTGTTTTCAAAGCCATTCGTCGAGTATTTTTTTACAACTTTTTTGTTTATAACAATTGACTGACCACGCCGAAAAATATAAAAAAAAATATGTAATTTATCAGAAAAATACACTTCATAAAATTAAAAAAGTTTCATGCTGTAGGTTTTTGTTCTAAAAATTTAGTCGGTCCATGCCTTTTTTTTTAGGGGTGAACCGCTCGCCTATAAAGTTCCGTTAATGCATTTCTATATTTTTTTTAAAGGATTTTATTGTACCTATTCATTCCTTTAATATAAATAAAGATATTTTTTTGTAAAAAAATTAGTATTCTATTAAAATTCGTTTCACTCATTCAGTTATATTACGGGCCGTTTTTAATTAAAAACATAATAAATATGAAAATAAATAGGTACAACTTTTATTTAATAGCTTGAGCGTATTTAATCTAGATTTTGAGCGAAACGTTATTTGTCTAGAAAAACTGTTATTTTTTCTCTAGACATAAAAACTGCTTATTCCACAAGGCAATCCGACGTCCAAATTCAAATTCCTAATTTTAGAATCAAAAAATCTTAAACTACTTGTCAAATTAAATGTGTAGACATCAATAAGCTCCGATTTTGCTCCGTAGGTATTATACTTAGTATTTACTTATTATAAGAACCATATTTTCTGAAAAATATTTGTAGTTACATTTTATAAAGTTAAACAGCATTTTAAAACCAGTTCTGTAAATGATATACTGATATACATTTTACTGGTTGCAACATTCAGTTTTGTGCTTTGAGAGAAACCGTGAAGCTCGAGGAAAGGCAACGCGTACTTTTTTATAAAAATATGTACTACAGCGTATTGCACCTAGATATATAAACAGTTGTTTTTTATAATGTTTGTAAAAAGTGTAATATATTTTAAAACTGGCTTCAGAGTCGATGTTAACGAAAAAAATGCAAATTATTGTGAGCCCTGAAATACATTTGTGTTTTTTCGAAGTTGTCAAACATGTTGTTGTAGTTGGTATCAAGAAAAACTAAATAAAGAGGATAGTTAAATTTTACCGATGTTTTAATTGTACCTACATACATTACAGGGTTTTTGGGGCTTTCAAAATTCAATATTTCTACGCCAATGGTTTTTTTAGACTTTTGATGATGAATTGTATTGTATTCTTTTGTTTTTAACAGTTTAGAGATATTTTCGTAAATGTTTTTTATTTTTTCAATAATTCAACACCCTGTATCTCTAAAATTAAGCTGTCCGGAACATGTATAGGTAACAATTATTTTCTCTCAAGGATTCATCTTTGAAATAGTTTATTTACAATAGTTAGGTTATATCCTGTATATCCATTAGATTCTGTTACAATTTTTTATTGATAATGTAGGAGAAAAGAAACATGTAATCTAAACACGTTCTATAAAACACTTTTTTAATCAATTTTTCAGATTTCTTCCTTCAAAATATTCGAAAATTATATTTACAAATTAAATAATATAATAAATTTATCTATGATAAACGTGCCAAGGTATACAGAGTGTCTCACGGTGACGGCCCATTAGAATTCTTTCAGAGATTACTTCGATTTAAATTTTGAAAATTTGGGATGCCGGGTTTTCGGGCATGCCCTTTTCAACTAAAATAATGGCGTCCACGTACCACTTCCGGTTATACCGGAAGTCGCCATCAACTTGCTTATTTTAACACGTTGACTGCGGTACATACCTCGGGGGGTATGTACTCGTTATAAAAAATATGCGAATCTCAATAATCACATTTTTACTGTATCTTGTGGAAGTTGCAGAATCTGTAGTTTTTAGAAATAATGATTTTTCTATTATTTTCTTTTCAAAACTCTTTGCGAATGAAAACGTTAGTATCCTAGGATATATAGTTACAGANAATAGAATATTATTATATTGTAAAAAACCAAGTCCTATTCTCAGCTGAACCCAAGATGAACGACGTGGACGTGATGTGAGACTCATCTCATTGGGCTGCTTGTTTATCGTGAGTCCCCTTGCCTCTCACTAGTAGATATTTTTTTAGGTTTGACAGTAGAGATAAGGACCCCACGGTTCGTCACTCCCGAAGTATTTTATGACTCCAAACCTTCTCTACTGTCTTTTATATCTACAGCTCAAAAAATTAAAGCCCAACTTCAACTTCCCATCGCTTATATCTCGGCTCCGGAGCATCTTGGCACTTTGTGCCCATGAAGACTTTTTCTCAGCATGACTTCAAGAAACTTCTGAAAATTTCAAATAATTTGACCGAAATTCAATTTCCATAAGATTTGTGCGGGGTCCTTTATTATTCATTCACGGACGTTGCAATGGGATTATAAGCAGAACGTGTACAATTTTTAATGAGACATATCCAAATTTGCCACCAATGAGCCGAAAAAAATTAAGAATTTTAGCAAATCAACTAGAACTAGAGTATGGTCGAATTTGTACAGAAAGAATTTTATCAAAACCAATAACTTCAAATGAAGATAATGTAATAAATGTGCTTTAATGTTCATCCAGAATCCTCAACTCACCTTTCACGAGCGTCCATTCACAGAATGCTAAGAACTAATGATATGCATCCACACAAATTTAAACTACTTTCTGCTCTTCATCCGGATGACGCCGTGCAACGTGTACAATTTTGTGAAACGATGTTAGTGCGATACCAAGAAGATCCACAATTTTTGCAACATATTATATGGACAGACGAGTCAAAATTTACGAGAGAATGTATTTTTACTCATTTGTGGTCATCTGAAAATCCTCATGTTATCCGGGAAAGAAACTCAAAATAAATTTACCGTAAATGTTTTTTGTTTAATTAAAGATAACCAAATTTCTTACCATATCTAATGCCGACAGATATCTCAATATTTTGCAAACGATTGAGGCAGATTTTCTAGATGATATACCTTTAAACCAACAAAGGAAGTGTTGGTATCAATTAGACTGGGCTTCACCTCACTGTCACAATCAAATCGATCAACAGCTGACTGAAATGTTTGAAGATGGATGGATGAGACGCCTAGGACCGTGGAATTGGCCAGTGAGGTCTCCCGATCTCACTCCATTAGATTTTTATGTTTGGGGAGTAATTCAAAAGAGGATTTAATTGCTCGAATACGAAGAGCGTTCCATGAATTGCCTACAGCTGAAATAGCAAAAGCGGTTACTGATGGTGTTATCTCTAGAATCCACAAGTGCTTAGTTGTTAATGGGGGTCATATTGAACACTTATGACTTTTTTAAATCTTTTTTTTTATCTTAGTGCATTATTACCTATTATCAACATACAAAATTAAAATTGTGTATTACTATGTATGAAGTTGATTTTAGAATTCTTCTTAACTTTATTCTGCTCATTGGTGGAAAATTGGAATATGTCTCATTAAAAATGGTAAATAAATAACTGGTGACAGTTTAGTTGTTTGTTTTGAAGTTTTGTTAAAAATTCCACAGCTATTCTTGCAATAAATTACGTGATTTTAGGTGATTACACAAAAAATAGTAGATAACTTAAAAACTAGAAGATATAGGTATAGGGAACCCCGATACCGTTCGAAAGAGAATAAAATTGTGTATCAGAATATAGAAAAACATACATGGTGTTCCATTTAAAAAAAACCGACTTATGAAGGTTTGAAGTTAACTAAACTCGGCATTAAATTTCTAGCACCCTGTATGCAATTAAACCACTTTGTAAGTATGGATAGGAAGCTAGGGGTCTAGCTATCCCCCCCTATAAATATTGTTGCTTTTTCTTTCTTACTATAAAATACACATAGTTTGAAGCTAGTCACTGTTTCTCTTCATTTTTTTGAAAAAAATTAGATGTCTCGAAACCAGTTAATTTTAGGAATAGGTTTAAAATAAGCAAGTTGATGGCGACTTCCGGTATAACCGGAAGTGGTACGTGGACGCCATTATTTTAGTTTGAGAAGGGCATGCCCGAAAACCCGGTATCCCAAATTTTCAAAATTCAAATCGAAGTAGTCTCTGAAATAATTCTAATGGGCCGTCATCCTGTATAAAAACATTAAAAACACGGATATGTTTGCCAAATTTATTTGCCTTATGTTAATACTACTAGATACAATAAATTGAAATAGCCAATAACGGAAAACTAACGGACACTATCAAACAGTCAAAATTCTCTACATCCTGGATGGCCTTGTTTTCTGGAAAACTTGGTCAGTGAATTTAATAGTGACGTCTTGCACTCTCATATTGGGGGTAAGGAATTCTCGCAGGTTAGTGACTCCATCTCTCGCTTGCCTGTCGAACGGGTAACCCATAGACCGACGGTCAGGATACTTCTTGTCTTTGATACCGCAGAAGCTGTCAGCATCGTTGCAAATTCCTGTGATGTCCTGGTCAATCTAAAGGAAAAATTACTGTTAAATGTACTGTTACCTAAAAAATATGAATAGCAGGCCAAATGGTGATAGCGGAACTTTTTAACGAATCTATAGTCCAAGTGTTCAAACATGTATACTTAAAATTGTAAAAAATAGGCAATTGTTAATTTAACAGTTTTGGTACCACAAGGATCAATTTTAAGGCCACTTTCTTTTCATTTTTAGACTAATGACGTAGAAACGAAGTGATAAAACTTAAGGAAATACAATTTGGACACGTCAAGTTGTGCGAAGCTTAAAAAATTATATAAATAAAAGCCAGAGGGAAAAACAATAGCTACTTAAAAAAAATCTCTTACTCTATCGTCGGCATAGTTGGAGATCATCACGAACAGCTGACAGGCTATGCCCTCTGGTGTCCCCTTGGGGATGAGCATATGCTGGGGCCAACCACAACCGCAGAAATTGAACTGAGCTAGTGCTTCTCCTCCAGTGGGCCTATTGTTGTCCTGATCCCGGAATGTCCGCTCGAATGGGATCGTCACCGAAGACTGGTTGGATGTACGTTTGATATTGTTCTTCCCTTGTTTCACTACAAAAATTATAAATTAGTTGCAGTTATTAAGTAACTTGAACAAATGTTTGAGATGAGATAGCACTTGATTAGGAACAGGAAAAAAGTTAACTTACAGTTGACCTTGAACTTGTCCAGCTCGATGAACATTAGCCTCTGCTCCTGGAACTTCCACGGGTTGCCGCGTTCGTCGAATTTTGGAGACAAGAAGATCCTGCAGGTGCCCTCCTTGTTACCGCCGCTCGTGTTGTTGACGACGATGTTGTAAGTGAACTCGACGTGCTGCAAGTGCGTGAACCTCACGAAGACGGAACCCCGCGGTTGGAAGTCGAGACCCCTGGACAGGTCAACGTCAGACTGCTGCCACAAGGTGTTCAAGGTGTTCTTGCCTTGGCTGGATTCAATGCTGATCTGGTCCACTGTAATTCCTGGGTTGTTTAACTGAAAACGAAAAATTGTTCTAAATTATTTAAATGCGCTAAAAAGAAATAATGCAAACTAAGTAAATACGAGTACTTAATCTCGCGACAAGCTTTTATAACATATAAATTGTGTAATGACGTTATAAGTTGATAGTAAAAGTTTTAAAGTAAAAGTTTATTTTTTCTTTATAGCGCATTTAAATAAAAGCTTGTTTTTTAAAAAGGTTTTTTTACTTTTAATTTATTTTTTACTTTTTAGTTATCGCTGGACACGTTTCTCAGTCTGTGCATCTCAATCAACGCATCATTATCGCAAGGTCGTTTGCCGGTTAATTTCGAACAGTCTAGCTCTTCAATAAGGAGACCTTCTAATGATTTTACCCTACTTAAAGCCACGTATGCTTGGAGGGTCTTGTGGACAGTACTACTCTGCATTTTATGTACTGTGCAAGCCCCATATAATATAATTGGCAGCATTCTTCGTTCTGCAGTGCCGTAACTATATTTTACCGTGACTTGTGTCTTACGAAACACAGTTCCGGGTTTGATTTTGGAGTTATCTTTCTCTTAGACAGGTTGCAAACCAATGCTATTGACGCCTATCTCACCAAATTACACAAGTCAAAGTTAACTAACCGTTCCTACAGACTTGGACAATTCGACCTCAATATCATAATCGAGGATTCCAAAAACCCCAGTACACCAAAATTTCAGACGGATTGAATAACGGATGTTCAGCATCTTATTTTTTTCAAACTCGCATTCGTATTCTCTGTAAGTCCTTTCATTTGATACTCATATTGTAGGCAAGCATTAAAATTAATTCGTCCGCCATCTTGGGCGTTCCACCATGTTGGATTTAGAATAAAGTCACACAGCTAATCATGTATTGTCATCCAAACCGAATGTGTATACAAAATTTTAGCTCAATCGGTTGAAGATATCTGCTTCAAAATTGAGTCTCAAGTTTTAGAAGTCCGCCATATTGGATTTAGAGTGACGTCACTTTATTTTTCGAGTTATTCTTAGCAAGCCCTTTCATTTGATACCCATATTGTAGGAGTGCATTAAAAAAATAATTAGTGCGCCATCTTGCATGTGCCGCCATGTTGGATTTAGAATGACGTCACACAGTTAACCATGCATTGTCATCCAAACTGAATGTGTATACAAAATTTCAGCTCAATCGGTTGAGGATATCTGCTTCAAAATTGAGTTGCAAGATTCCACCCGAACAAACATACATTGCAAGTTAAATAAAAGCTTGTAATAAAAGCTTGTAAAAAAAGAAGTAGCCGAGCAAAGAGAACCATTTTTAACAGTTTCCCCAAAGGAAATTGAAACAGAAATAAAGTGCTTAGACTGAACTCATCAGATTCCGACTTTTCATTTTCCTTAGATCAAATACGTATTAGAATCTTTGTCTTGGATATGAGAAGTAGAAGTCAATGATCTGTTACAATATAACATAATAAGACTTATACAAAGCTCGCTCTAAGCTGTATTGGATTGTTTCTAAAGAAACACACGCAATATGAAGGAAAAAAAATGACGACTAGTAGACGGCTATAGTAAATTGGTGAATGAAAAAAAAAACGTAGATGATAGCTGTTCTTTACCTAATGTTAATTCTATCATTAATCTATTAAGACGATGTCATTTGGACTGAAAAATGCCCCGGCAAATTTCTAATGTTCTAAAAGAATTATAACTCTAAAACTAAAATATTTCATCAATTAATTTTTTGTATTAAATAACTAGTCAATTAAAATGTATTTTGTTGTTATTTAAAAATGTTGTATTTGTTGTTATAAAAAATGTGTTTTTTTGTTATTTGAAAATGTCTGTTAACTTTTGAATAAATCAGCATCTTACCCTATCCTCGGAATATCTTGGCAAAGTAGATTTGTATTCCTGGAAAAGGTCATCTATGTAGGCGTGCCACCTGTAGAAGACTGGGTCGCGCATTGCTGTGGTAGAATCACCAATAACACCAAAAGACTCCTAAAAAAAATCATTTCATAACATTTTTATAAGAAAAACGTTTTCCATGGAAAAGAAAATATTGTATTGTGTTTTAGAATATTATGGAATAGAATATTAACATCTTTTTTAATTTCAAATTTCCAACTATTAAAATTACAGAAAAAATTATCTGGTTATTTATTACTATTTCTCATTTCTATGTAGTTCGTTCAACCAAAGTATGAATAATCATTTTGGATTATCTTAAATAAATGGAATGTTTTTTTATGATCCTTTCTCACTTACCAAATTTCTGTGATCAGGATCGTGAATATAGGAAAGAAACACATGACCCATGTTGTGTAAGTCACCATAAAAACCTCTATCTGGAGACAAGATGCTGGATTCAACCATGTTTCCAAGTATGTCGATACCTCCAAATTCATCCAGCTGCCTTTCACTTCCGTCAGACTGTGAAAATTAAAGTTACTGAATGTGTAGCAAATTCTGAGGAGTGGGCAAAAGACAATTTATGTCCCCCGTTTCCAGTACTTACATTTCTTACTACACCTCTGTTTATGGCCTCGAAAATTCTGTCTCTCCATCTCTCCAAATCATCGATGTCCAAAACGATTTGGTCTACCTCTCGTTTCAAATTGCTCAGTTTCTGGTTGGCAGATCGGGCAGGCCAGGATCTGCTGGCTACCGTACTGTCCAGTTTTGGGAAGTAGGCCTCCTTGATTTCCTCCTTCCAATTTATGAAACGTTCCACGCGTTTTAGCTTGTTGCATAGGCGTTCGAAATTGTATCTGAAAATTAGCGTTGATTAATTGGTAAAAATCATGAGTTTTAATAGTTCTAGCAATTACCTTGCCACTACCTGCTGATGCATATAGTAGAAGAGTTCCCCTCTCCTATCCTTATCCACGACTTCCCTGGCTGCTTCGAAGGGATACACCAAGTGCCAATGCCAATGGTGAAGGTTGATACCCAAGTCTTCCCTGAAGTAAGCCAGACGATGTTCTTCTTCTAAATCTGATGCTGTGAAGTCCTTGTCAATTACAATTGGTGTCTAAACAAAGTACCAGATGTTTATTGGATACATCAACCAACAGTCAAAGGTAAATCAAAATTACACAAAGTTAACAAATACAAAGTAAATAAAGATTAAATTGAAATTTTGAATAAAACATTAAGGTAACTTACCCTAGAGTCTTCTGGAACTACTGTAGCAGTTTCTCTGGCGGCGTTGAACACCTTGGCATCGACAAATTTATCAGGGAAAGAGTGGATGAAGGAAGGCAAGTCCAGATTTTGGGTGTCTGGCCTATGCAGCAAGGCGACGGAGAGGGCGTAGTTGAACAGGTAGGGATTCACCCTGTCTCTAGCGTAGACAGCGACTGACAAAAGGTCATCGACGGTCCTTACACCTAAAGGATAACAGGATAAGAAACAGAATGATTGTTTTAAACTTATACATGGTGTTAGGTATTTGTTAATCTCTCGGAAATGAATAGGAATAGCAATAGAGAAGGAGAAGTAATACTATCACTCCCTATAATTTTATTTTCCTAACATATTTCCTAACGGGCTAACTTTAAAACTACCTTGTATATTTTGGTAAAGTTTTAATGTATATATCCATCATCTCTTTTGATGAAATTAGTACATGGCAAGCAACCAGAGTTAAATAGGCCAAGAAAATAAGCTGGGAAATTCGCGACTTTTTGTTTCAGCAAGCTGAATTTATCACTATAGATGGTAAATATTATGTACACTAACATATTAGTTTCCCCAATCATAAAAATGGGGGGGAGATTGTTTACAGGGTGGTTAATTGTATAATTTTTACGTAAATTTACGTTTTTCGCTTATAACTTTTTTCCGTTCATTTCCTCGAGAAAAGAGTAAGGTACTTTTTTTTGTCTCCAAAAGACCTACAAAATTATTGATTTGATCTAAAGTTATAAACAGAAGAAGTTTATTTATGACATTTGAATTAAACATTTATAAACTGCGTTATTATTACCAGAACGTTTTGGCATCGCATCATCTCATTCCTTATCACTGTCTAATAACTCACACAAAATCTGGAATCGATAAGTTGAATAGTTTACAAGTTATGGCCTTATAAACAAATTGACTAATTATTAGTCTGGTCGATCCTGAGGATCTTCCACAATCGCACTGATTTTTTTCATGGTAGATTTCATAATAATACATTGAAATCTATCAGTTTTTTTTATTTCAAATTTGCAACCTGGAACTTTTTTTATTTTTTAGCCTTAGTTGAAAAATGAAATATACGACGCACGAGCGTAAATAAAGATGTCTTGCTAGCTTATTTTTTCAATTTAAGTGAGAAATTGGCTCCATCCACATTGTGGTCTAAATATTCCATGAAGTCAACTTTGAGAGTTTACAAGAACATTGAAATTTCTAAATTCGGAAGACTAATGGCATTTCTAAAGTCTAAGCACAAACATTTTGAATCAAAAAAATCCCAAGGTTTTAGAAAGAGAACAAATCGAACAATTTTTACGTGAAGCCCTAGACGAAGATCATTTTATGTATAAGGTAGGTTCTATTGAATGAGTTATATTTATTAAATTTGTTGTTTTTAGGTGGCGCTGATATTAGGAGTTTTTGGCGCTTGCCGTTGCGAGGAATTGACCCATCTAAGCATAGACAATATAGAGGACAAAGGGCAGTATATCAACATCATGATTTCAAATACTAAAACGAATAAACCAAGAAGCTTCGCTGTGTTAAATGAAGGATTTTGTGTAAATCCAATTGTCAATTGAATTAATTAGAAAATATTCTAAGCTAAGGCCTCAAAATGTGTAGCCTAAAAGGTTCTTTTGCAATTTTCAAAAGGGAAAATACACACGTCAATGTGTTGGTATTAATAAGCTATTAAAAATCCCTAATGTTGTTGCGCGATTTTTGGGTTTAACATATTCTAATTTATATACATGGCATGGCTTGCGTCGCACATCTGCAACTCCCTTGGCCAATGCTGGAGGGGATATTACAACACTCAAACGCCACGGGATGGATGGAAGTCATCTACCGTGGCAGAAGGTTATATAGAAGAGTCAATTTCCAGCAAAATTAATATTGCTAAAAAAAATACAAGGGGTACAGAGTTCTGAAGCAAGCACAAGCAAAGGGGCAACCTGTTCTATAAATTTAACCACAACCACAATTTGATTCCAATAATCCTTTGGCAACAAATTACGGCTTTAACATGTTAATATTAATAAGTAGGCAGATTGTAGTAAGTTTACTATTTCAAATTGGTTTTCTAATAAAAATTAAAAATAAACCAAACATTTGTCTTTTTATGATTTCTATAAGTCACTAGTGGGTTAACTTACTAGTGACTTATGACTTATAACTCACTAGTGGCTTATAGGCCACATTTTCCTTTAAAACCAAATAAATTATACTCGTAGTATCATTATATACAAGTGTTGGATAAACAAATTTATATAGTTGATAAGTTAAACAGAAACTTATTAAAAAATTGAGCGTTTTACTTTTTATAGAATTACACTTATTCTAGAAACATAAAGAAATAATAGTAATAAATGTTTTTCAAAACTTCGATCTATAATTTGAAAACTCTTAGAGATGTTAAAAAATTAAGCCCGCTACTAGCTTTTACGTGAAGAGATCTGTGTTAATATTTTAGAAAAAAATTCGAGACATTTCCAAAATCTGTTTTGACCTGAAGCTTCCCCTCTAAAATAATAATCGATATGCCCTCGAAAATAGGCTATAATGGTACACTATAATTATTCTACAATACCTAAGAAGATGTTTATCAGACTGGCAGCCATCTGGCGATGTCTAGGGATGAAAAGGGAGAAGTTCTCATCTCTGCGCAGCTGCATGACTTCATCCAGAGGAGGAATTGAAATCTTTTTGACTGCAATTTTGGGAAACTGGTCCCCTTCCTCAGATTGGCCGAAACGAGATACTACTAACGTTCCCACGGATTTGTATTTGTCGGGCTGTAATTATCATTAATTACTGAGCTGCTCGATAATAATAGACAACAGTGAACATACTAAGTAATCTGGAGGGAGGTCGAAGACGCTCTTCGTGTCTCCTTTGGGCATAAAACTGGGTTCTTGGGGTCTGTCGAATAACAGTAGAAGATTGCTTCTTTTGTCAGACATGATGAAATCGGTCCGTCAATTCCGTTACTCTAAAAATTATTAAATTCTCTTCAATGCGATTTTCATTTTATTTTATAAAAATTTAAATTAGTGAAAGACTCAATAAATAAATAAATTCAGTTGTCTTCTGTAAAAAAATATTCTATAGGGTGTTCCTAAATAAGTGTCACAACGGAAAACTGTAAATTCTCTTGAAAAAATAAACAATATTTTCCTTTTCCATTTTTCTCTCCGGGCTTTCGTTTTCGAGATACACGGTGTCAAAACTTTATTTTTTAGTTTTTTGCTAATATCTTAGGAACCGTTTGAACTACAGGACTGAGCTTTTGTACACACATTACCACTATTAATAGTGGTGGAGATTTTAAGGTATCATAAGGGTTTCCCCCCTAACTTTTACGCCACTGGAGAAACAGACATTTGAGAGCAAATTCTGGACCGCCAATGAATTTTACACAAAAAGAGTTCTCTTAGTTCATTGCTCTAACATCAACCGTTTTCAAGAAAAATTACCCATCAAATTATGAACAAGGTTTATTAGAAACATGATCCGACGATGTAATGCGTGCATACAAGCCAACGAACGTAAATTTGAACAGTTTTTGTAAGATTTAATCACTAAAGTGATAACAAATTATTTTTTAGTTTTTTTTTTAGTTAAAATCCTATCTGTTAAATTTCGTTAAAATTGTTAATTATTACTACCTACTTTTTGAATTACAAAAGATTTTTTAAACCTTAGCAAAATGTTTGTTTTTGTTCATAAAAAGTCATTTTTCTTGAAAACGGCCAGTTGTCAATTTTTCCAGTGACGTAAAAGTTAGGGGGGAAACACCACTGGCACGTCCAATGAATTCGCGAAGGGTGCGAAAAAGTAGCTGTAGTAGTGGTAATGTGTGTACAAAAGCTCAGTCCTGTAGTTCAAACCGTTCCAAAGATATTGTCAAAAAACTACAAAAACATTAATGTTTTGACATCGTGTATCTCGAAAACGAAAGCCCGGAGAGAAAAATGGCAGAGGAAAATAATGTTTCTTGTTCAAGAGGAATTCACAGTCACGACACTTATTTAGGAACACTCTGTATAATCCTACCTATTTATAATTACTGGATGAATATTAAATCTATACATACATTTTAAGCACGGGTAGATGCAGTTTCTAAATAATGACAATAACCCGCCTCATAAATATACGATAATGTTTTAGATGTATTTCTAAAAATTGAAAAAAAATCAAATCTTGAATACGCTTATAAATATTAAGTCGAATATTACATTTGAAATGTGCAAATAACTAATATTCAATCTCGGCGAATATATCCAATGAATATTAAAAAAAAATGCAATAAACTTCCATTGACTATAAAAATACCCTTCACTGAATTAAGTATCCAAATTAATAACAGAAAATTTAAAAAAAAACTGGTAAGCAAACAAAAGTTTAATTAAAAATAAAAGTTTCGCAATGAAATATAAATAATATAATTATTTAAGCAAATAATATAAAGACTTCAAAATATATGTAAAACATAACAACAATTAGGCATAATTCTGAGTTAATTTGACTAAAATAAAAAAAATCTACTTACGAATCTACTTAGGAAGAGGGCCAAACGTGTTGGTGAGGTTACTGTAAGAAAACTGAAAAATTACCGAAAATACTCGCTTTTATATTAATGCGGGGTTATTTGTGGTCACCGACTATCAGAAAACAGAAGAAGAAAGCGGTGAGAGAAAAATAAGCGGATAAAAACAAAAACATCTAATGTTAAATAGATAGGAAGTGGTTTCTAAACCTCTGATACGATGTTTTCTTTGAAAATCTAACGTTAAACAATAAACCATATAATTGACAAAATACACCAGCCGCTTTCGACGGTAAAATGATGGTTCTCAAAATTGTGAAATTAAAAAAGATCACAAAACTCCAGACAGTCAGTTTACCGAAAAGATTTCCATTGTATATTTTGAATAACCACCCAAAAGCTTCATTTTTATTTTCATTTTTACTCATTACATTTTTCATTTTTTTTTTAACAATGAATTGAATAAAAGAATAAACCCCCATAGACATAATTTTTAAGACTATTGAACGTAACATAAAATTCTGCAAGACAGTAAAGAATAAATATACATCTACACACAAAAAATTCCACATACTCCCGTATTATCAGAAAAATAAGATTACTGGGGTAACTTAGACCTTTGATGGCTATCAAATATTAAAAGAAGTAAGTATAATATAAATATGATATATCTTGCTATGGAAGCAGATTATCAAAAAAATTTCAATCCCAGTATTAAAAGAAGCGTTATTCTAAATTTTGAAAATGGAAAAGTATAGATTTTTTCACTTTAACTGTTAAGGTTAATTAATTTTTTTCTTGTTTGCTTTTTTCAGGCTTTTTGGTTAGGCAAAAATAGTGTAATAAAAATAACCGAAATTTTGGAAATCCGTTTTTGTTTCATTTCAGCCTTGTTGGAGGTGATATTGAAAAAAGAAGAACACTTTCCCATGGCAACTTTTTGCCCTCTATCGAATGGCATAATCAATTTTTATATGTAATGTTTCGTCTCTCTAAGACTATCATCAACTTCATTTTTTTAAATACGATCCTGAGAATGTTATTCCACTTTTTGCAAGCCTCACAATACTGTACTGTTTCAGACCTAACCAGATTCAGATGTTTTGTCTAGAAAAATTCATCTTGAATGTATTCGTTCTAAATTTATCTAATTTTTTATTTAGATTTTTGTTTCTTGAATTATCGTACACTAAAGTGTTATTAGACCTTGTGAAATCCACCTAGTTATTTAAACTATTACCATCATACGATACAATAAAACATTATTAGTTTTAATGCCGTACTTATAGTTATTTCTAGATTTCTCGAGTGCGCAAAATTCAATCTAATTTTTTTCAGGATATTCATACAAATACATCTGACACGCTTTTACACAGTTGCGGTTACAGGTATAATAAATTCCGATCATATTATGCTTATCTTCATTTTGAGCATGTGTCAAAACGGAAATTTTTCCTTACTGTAATGTTTTATAAATATAATACTCATTTGGAGTTTCGTTTGTCCATATGTATTTTTAAAAATTAATTTGTCCTAATGAAATTAAAATTGTATAGGTAATGTTTTAATTTTGACGCAACAACTAATCGAATTATACAGAGTGGGCCACCAGTAACGCCTCGGTCACTAGTGACCAAACGGCAAATGTTACAGAAACCTGTTTATGTGGGTATGTGTAGGTTGATTACGGCAACATTTTAAAAATATTTTGAAATATACAGGGTGTCCAGGAAAAGCGTACCATATCAAAGTTATGTTTTTTTAAATGGAACACCCTGTATTTTACTGCATTTTTGAAAGCACCGTAAAAAAATAGATGAACTTTATTAAAGGTTCTGCATACCTAGGACTTACAGTTTGTGAGATATTTCAATTTTAGTGAAAATGCAGGCATAGCGTAGAAATTTAATATTAGCAATAAAAAAATAATTTTAAGGAAGCAGCTTTGGAGGGTCTATTTTAGATCCTTGAAGTTATAAATTGTTATATTTGTCGTCACTTAGTATTATACAGGGTGTTCAAAAAACTGCTGAATACTTCTCTCAACTTTAAACAGCAGTAACTTGGTTATTTTAAATGGAACACCCAGTATATTTTTACTTTGGGAGATGGGAAATTTAAAACTCTTTCAAACTGTGTATAGGTTCCCTATATCTATCTCTAACGGTATTGGCGATATTTGTGCCGTTTTGTTTTTTATCGATTTTTTTTGTATATGACCAGGTGATTAAAACTCTAATAATGTTTTATTATAACGTGTAATGGTAATAGTTTTAATAACTAGGTGAATTTCACAGGGTCTAATGTCACTTAGAGTATACAATAATTCAAGAAACATAGAAGTCTAAATAAAAAATTAGATATTTGTAACGAATACATTGAAGATGAATTTTTCGAGACAAAACGTCTGAATCTGATTCGGGATGCGGCAGTATTGGTGGTCGCGAAGGCTTGTAAAAAATGTAATAAAATTTCCAGGGTTGTATTTAAAAAAAAATGATGTTAATAATGGTCCTGGAGAGAGGAAACGTTACATATAAAAATTGCTTATGCCAATCCATAGAGGGCAAAAAAATTGCCATGAGAAAGTGTTCTCCTTTTTTTAATATCATCAAACAAGGCTGAAATGAAATAAAAATGATTTCCAAAATTTCATTTCTTTTAAATTCTTCGAAAACTAATCATGTTAGCCGTGATTTTTTAGAGGCATAATGTTGGTCCCCTGATTATGCAACTTTGGTCCAATGTAATGTAGTTCGTATCTGTTACCGTTTCCAAGATCCCTGTAGTGAAAAGCAAATTTTTAACAGCCTGTATATTGATTTAGAAGCTTTATACAATGCAAAAGACAATAATTTAAAACGTACATGTACTTGTTGAACTACAGGCGGTCTAGGTGGACGTTCGAACACTCTCTACGCTGGCTCCGCAGGGTACCCTAACAGGTATGCATCGTAGATTGGCATTTTATATTGACGTTCCTATGTTGATTGTGAGTGTCTCCCTAGAGTTATTGAGCTGCAGCCTGCAGCTCATTTCGATTAATGGTGACTCTAAGGCCACGCTGTAGTTCAATTGTCGAAATATTTGAAGTTACGTTTTGCCAAAATTCGAAAGGGTGGTGAATATTTTCGCACCGTCTTGCGCTGTCGGGGGCGGTTTCGTGCTTCGTCACAAGCGCTGTCAGCATCGTTTGGTACGACTGACGGTTTTTGGTGGCAATCGTGGTATCATAGGGGAATTCCGGAAAATATTTTAAACTTGGATGGAAAATTTATTTTCCCGCCCTGCACTTGCTGCTTTTCGCGGCACTTACTGTTAGTTTGAAAGATAACTTTTTGATACTTAGTTGATTTTTCGAAACATGGGTGAATTTCGAACGCTACTACGCGTACTACGGCGATTAGTATAAATAAATCAAAGTCTCACAGTCTTTATCTAGATTTTGGGCAAATCATTGTTTGTCCAGAAAGACTGTTTCTTTTTAATTTTTTCTTGTGGCACGAAAACTGCTTGTTCCTCAAATTAATTCGAAGAACAAATTCAAATTACTAGCATCTTAGATTTAAAGAAATCTAAAACTGCTTGCTAGATTAAATATGTAGACATCAACTGGCACTGATTTTGCTCCGTGTTTGAAAATTGAGATAGATACTTAGTATTTCCTTGATATAAAGGCATGTTTTGATGGTTGCACTGTGTTCAAAATTGTATTCCTGGCAGACAGCAGAGGCGGACTGGCTAGATGAACAGGCCCGGGAAACATTCATCAAGCGGCCCGTTTTTTGAAAGTTTCAGAATTTATTTTATTTTAAATAGGCTCTTCGTGAATGATTTATTTGAAATATTTGAAAAAAGTTAGCCATAGATAATTTGATATTGTTTTAAAAATAATTAATATCACAATTTGTTTGTAGATAAAAATTAAAATCTTAAATTAAAATAATTTAGATTTTTTTAAAATGGATAAGTAGTAGTTGGAAGGTATAAGAAGTTAAAGCATTATTCTTTTTAATAAATAAATAATCATTAAAATATATATTTTGTATCAATCGAAAATATTGTGTTGTAGAGCTAAGTATAATCTAAAAATTCCAATTTAATATAAAAGGAGATTTTTTAAAAGTGTACTTTTTAAAACTAATTCATTAATTATATCATCTAATGACAAACTATTTAAAATGTCTACATTTAATGCCATTAACATAAAAGTCTCTAGTTTTTCCTGAGTCAGCGAACTTCTCAAACGATTTTTTAAAAACTTCAAAGTGCTAAACGACCTCTCACAAGCTACTTGTGTAAACGATAGAGATAATACGTATTTATATGCTACTGATGCAAAGAGAAATACGTTTGTCAATAGATTGTATCTATTTAAAATCCTGTAACAACATATGATGCAGTTTTTACATGGCTCATGTTTCTTTTTATTTTTTCCTTTATATTTCTGCTGAGTTTCATCAGTTTCATCTTCTGTGATTTTAGTCCAGACGGTATCTGTTTCAAAAAGCCATATTTGGGTGAATCGTATATCCACGGAGATTTTTGG